CACACACACACACACACACACACACACACACACGCACACCCACACACACGCACACACACACACATTCACACGCACACCGCGGCACACGCACACCCACACACACACACACACACGCAAACGGAAAAAAAAAGTGGCAGTGCGACATCTTAGGCCAGGCCACCTCCCGTTTTTGCCCATTATCAAACCGGTGGGCCGTCTAAAGCGCTGGGGGGAGCACTTGAAAAATGAAAAAAAAAAAAACAAAAAAAAAAACGACAAGTACAGGTCTTGAACTGTAGATCTGTCGCATAAGGGTGAAGGTTGCTGCAGAGGTCCCAGATGTGGAAGTATTGAAAGGTCAAGGCGTAGTTGGTACTGCAGGTCGTCGCCGTTGTTGATTTCTTTTTGTTGTTGTTTTGTTGTTTATTTTTGCGTTTTATGTCAATTTGTTGTTTGTACTTTCCTGTGCAGGTTCTTTCTGCAGTTTCTGATTCTCCATTCTCAACAGTTTCTTTGCATTTTGTTGATTTCTCTTCAGTTTCGGTTTCTCCAGCTGCTTTCTCTCCAGTTTACGACATCGTCTTTCTGTAGTGTCAGTGTTTCGGCATGTTGCACGCACATGGAAAGGTTCCGGTGGACTCGTCCAATGTCGTTAAACAGGTCACAACATGAAGATGTTCGACTCGCCGTTCAAGGTTGATCCAAAGATCGACGGCAAGAGAGATGACCATGTGTGGCATTTCGTCGCACGAGGTCGTTATTTGGATGGGTTCACTGCGGCGGGTAGAAAGAGTGGTTGTAGTTGCCTGTGCAGGTTGTGCGGACGTTCGATGTGCGGGGGCGTTAAGGCCGCCATGGAACACTTCTCGAAAAGCAAGAAGTTCCGATGTGAGGTGGCCACTTCTGTAGTGTGGCATGCCATCTGGTCGAAGGACATGACAAAATGTCCTAAGGAGTTCATATCGACTATCGAGGCGTTGCAGAGCTTACCTCCTGGGCATCCAAAATTTTAGTGGCCACCGCTGCGATACCCCGAAGACGCAGTGCCGCCTCCCGTTTCCACCGACGCCCCCTCGGGGGCGGTGCCTAATGCTAGTCCATCCATTCGAGTAATTGTACCGCGTGGCACACCGCCACGACCACTAGCTCCAGCGTCTCCACCACTGACTGCCAGTGACTGGGACACAGGGTGCAGGTGGTACACACGTTGGTCGGTCCATGCCGGCCAATGAGCCACCTCCTTTGCGGGAGGGTGGGGGTCGTGCAGCGTTCGACGAGCACGACACACAAACTTTTGTTGAGAGCCGCACATGGGGGAGGGATGTTGGCACTTCGGCCGGACTTGGCACTATGTTTACGAGTGGCGGGCGCTCACCTGCTGCACGGGGTAATACTGCTGCGCCCTCTGCCGCAACTGATCGCGGTTCGTCGGACCACCCTTGGCTGCCGCCTCCACCGTCGCGAGTGGCGCAGGGTGCAACCGCCGGCCATCTTGCTACGACGGACAGACCGGATCCTTCGCGCGCAGTTGTAGATGCTCGACAAGCTGCTACCCTCCCTCGATTTAGGGAACAGACAGTGCCCGGGGTGACTACTGCAGAGCTCCCCATTCCGGTGTCCGATTCGTCGCCGACCCCGCTTCCGACGACGACAGGTGCTGCTGCCGCTGCTGCACCTGTGCTTACCGGTTCGTTAGATCCTTTGTACCGCATGCGCCCAGAGCGCGGCACCTGCGAGTCCTGGTTGGTTGTTGGATGTCGGGATCCTTGGCGGGCGAGCCACGGCGGGACGTGGCCGGGGCACCTATCAGCAGCAGGCCGTCACGTCATATTATTCGGACCCTTTGGAGCATGCATGGCATTTGCAGATCATGCGCTTCATCGTCGAGAGTGGGATGGCGTTCAACTGCGTGAAACTTGAAAGCTTCAAACGCATGTTCACGATGATCATCCCCTTGGGGGTTCCAAGGGCACCCACGCCCAGAATGCCCTCGTACCACATGGTGCGCACGACCCTTTTGGACGAGCTGGATTCAGAGGTCCAAAATTGTGTTCGCCCACTCCTTGACACGACAAGAGAGCATGGTTGCACAATCATGACCGACGGTTGGACCAACATCCAGGGTCAGACATTGTGTAACTACCTCGTCGGGACAAATTTGGGGGCAGCGTATGTCGCCACCGACGTCATGCACGGCAAGAAGGACGCCATTGCCCTTGCAACCGCATGGTTGAAGAGGGTGAAGTCCATGGACTTGAAGCTGAGCGACATCACAACGTTCGTGACGGGTTCCGCTGGGGTGAACGTCGCGGCGATGGAGGTTTTTGAGAAGGACAAGAGCGTCAAACACATGTTCTGGATCCCCTGCGTCGCCCATGTGATGAATCTCATCCTCGAGGACATCGGTGGGATTGATTGGGTGGCCACCCGCATCGCGCAGGCGAGGTTGGTGACGAGGTTCTTCAAGCGCCATGGCCACGCGCGTGAGGTTTTGGAGAAATTATCGAAGAAGACCCTTCTTCTGCCGGCGGAGACTGGTTTCGGCACGAATGTCATCATGATGACAAGGCTTGTGGACCTGCGGGAAGAGCTCACGGAGCTCGTGGGCGCCGATTGCTGGCGTGAGACTGTTTGGTCCACCGGCAAGATCCGCAAGGATGCCGCAGAGATCACTGCGTGTATCGGGTCTCCTCCATGGTGGGAGGATTTGAGAGCTTTGTGCAGGATGTTGGAGCCTATCATGGATATGTTGAGGTTGGTCGACAGCGACACACGCCAGATAAGCAAGATTTTGCGTCGTTACGAGGTGATAATCGCATCTTGCTTGTCTGCGTGCCGCGACATCGATCGGGAGCAGTAGGACGCTATTCTGGAGGTGTTTGACAGGCGGCGCACCATGTTCCGGACACCCGCCCACACAGCAGCCATGATGCTGGATCCCGAGTTTCGAGACCCGACGCTCAACGAGGACGAGGAGGTGCAGCGGGGATTGATCGAAGCCTTGGTCCAGTTCGGCTACCCAGAAGGATCGACGCAGCACAGAGAGGTCCTTAGGGCGGTCGACAAGTTTCATACGAAGGAGCCTCCTTTCAATGAGGTCATTATGAGGCGAGCGGTGGATAACTACACCCACCCTGCCAGTTTTGGGTCTGCGAAGAGTGCGAAGTGCCCTCACACGACCGTCTTTGCCAACAGGATCCTTCGCATCTGGGCGACTACATCATCGTGCGAGAGAGCATGGTCTTGCTGGAGCTTCATTCATTCGAAGTCACGAAACAGGTTGGAGGTTGTTCGGGCTGAGAAGCTTGTGTGGTTCCACTGGAACCTCAGACTACTCGACAGACCGTCATTGTGTGACGATGCTCCTGCTGACAGGCCCGATTTCTTCGAGAACTGGGTGCATTATTGGCAGGCCGTGGAGGAGGAGGTGGCAGTGGACCAGCAACTCGTCAGAGGTAGCGGAGCACTGGCGAGGGTGACCGAGGAGGAGTTGAGTCACGCCAGAGAGAGGATGCGCATCGTTTCCCGCATAAGAGCCATGCGTCGGGTGGCGGAGTCCGACAGGAGGCGACGCAAAGGCGGAGGTCATGGACGTGGCGGGCGTGGGTGAGGTTGTGTCAGAGGAACGAGGCGTGGTGGTGGGCATGCTGCATCTGGGACTCGGTGACAGCGGACGGATGGTTACATCCGCAAGGCCCGCCAACGTTAGGACGAGGGAGACTTCTTGTTCGACAGCTCGTCCAGCGACGACGACGATTTCTTTGTTGTGGGGACCGCTGCGCATACGGACGATGAGAGATGAGACTGCGACGACAGAGGTGATGGCGGAGGACCGGAGGTGGCGGCGACGGGGGAGGTGATGGCAGAGGTGGAGCCGACGACAGAGGTCGCGGAGGACGTGGCGGCGACGAGGGAGGTCACGGAGGACGTGGCGGCGACGGCAGAGGTCGCGGAGGACGTGGCGTCGACGGGGTAGGCGAAGACACACGGCACGGAGGAGGTGGCGACGACGAGGGAGGCGAGGACAGAGATCACGGAGGGGGTGGTGGCGACGAGGGAGGTGATAACAGAGGTCACGGAGGATGTGGCGACAACGAGGAAGGCGAGGAGAGAGATCACAGAGGGGGTGGGGGTGACGAGGGAGGTGACGACAGAGGTCACAGAGGAGGTGGCGACGACGAGGGAGGCGAGGAGAGAGATCACGGAGGGGGTGGCGGCGACGAGGGAGGTCATGGCAGAGGTGGTCTTGTGCGTGGTCGTGGCTTCGTCTTGAAGCGGTTGAGATACCGGGGCAAACAGGATAACAACATTTCATCTCGTGTGCGCAGACGTCGTCTTCAGACTGTTCACGATGTGACCGTCACGGAGGCAATCGTCGTGCAGCAGGAGCAGGTTGTCGTGTCTGAGGATTCCATGAACAAAAAGGCGGACTTGGACATCATTCCTTGTGATGCTGACCTGAGGTGCGAGGAGCATTAACCCGGTTTCGTTGAGGTGTCGAGTTTGTCGACCATGTGTGCAGCGGCGGTCACAGCTCCGGAGGAGAGTGGAGCAGGCCCAGTAGGGTTGACTCGTCCAAAGTCTCCGGCGCGCGTTGCAGACACTCAGGTCGCACAGGACTCCCAGCGCCATCTCACACAAACCACGGTCGAGGTTCATGTGGAAGGTCGAGGAGGGGTAGCCGATGATGGGCGGACGATTCCATGCGGTGGAGGGAATGTGCCACCTCCTTCCACCGTCATTTGCACTGGTGCCCACAAGGCACCCAGCGCCTCGGTCCCCTCCACAGGCGAGGTAGCACGTCCTCCCACGGGTGACGTTGGTTTGGAGAACGGAGAGGTTGCACGTACTCCCACTTGTGCCCATGAGGGAGAGGATGCACGTCCTGCCACAGTCGAGCATGTTGGCCTCGCCTGCCCCATTGGCAGTCTTCCGCCCACCGCCGAGATGTTAGTCATGAAGTTGGCGTTGGATGGTTTGCCCGACATATCGACTTTGATATCTCCCACTTTGGCATTTGCGGCACCACCAGCGACTGGTCCAGCGGATGACACGGATGGAGTGTCTAGAGGATTCGACGAGTTCGTTGGCGACACGATACTGCATCCCACAGTCTCCACCACTCTCGCCGTTTTTCATGTGGGAGCACCGCACGCAGTGGACCAGGGTTTGGCGGAGCAGGTGGCACGGAACCGCCGTGGCGGCCCCCACGTCGCGGCGCAACGCAGTCTAGGGGATTCATTCGAGAGAGTGGATGCAGAGTATGTGGCGCAGGACGGTCATTCTGCGCGGGATTTCGGAGGCGAGGGGTCATCAGTACTGGCAGGTCCTCGGCCAGACCCACACCCAGGCCCGCTACGTCCAGCGCAGGAGACGGTTTGTGAAGTTGTCGGCTTGGGCGGTGGCGAGGACACGAGGCAGGATCTAGCACGGACACATGGTGGCGTGCCTGGTGGCAGAGACCACGAGCATATAGTGACATCGGACGCACAGCATAGCGTTGACAGGGCCATCTCACGTGTTGTCGGAGGCAAGCACACAGGTGACGCTCGACCGCATCACATGGCGATGCGTTCAACACCCCCACACCCCGATGGCGTCGACCCGGTGTCGGTGCGAATACCCTTACAAGGGTATCCACCCTGGTTTTTGCAAGTGACAGAAGATAAGGTTTGTTCAAAATCTGAGTACCCCGTGCGAAGTTGCAGTCGTGTTTGGTTCGTGTTAACTGAATGGTTGACGGGGAGCAAAGTGCGTGTGGGCGAGCAGTTTTGAGGCGCGCGTGATGTTTTTTTCTCTTGATGCTATAGAGTCGGCGTGTCTGGCGACAACATCTTTGGGCTTTGAGTAAAGCTAGGAAAAGTTTTCTTTTATTGAGTTGACCATCCATGGTGGTGCACTGGCATTCATACGGCATGCGCCGTCAGACGTAGATTTGTTAGGTAGCAGCACACGTGTGCTGCATGTGCGATGGTAGCCAAAAGGAAAAATTTACCCCTTCATGCAGCGAGGGCCAGTGCGTAGGAACCGTAGGCGCAAGCGGTGGCCTCTGCGCGGCATTATGGGGGCTACAAGCGTGACAGGCCGAGCAAAACCCGACCCCTAACCACATGTGCGTGCGTACATGGGCGGGGGGGTTGCTGGGAAGTCAAGCAACAGCCTTAACGCTGCTGTCGCAGGCCCAGGCTGGCCACGGTTACTATTCACAGACGAGGCCGTGCGTAACCAATCTAAGTTGGGGCTTAGCCCTATAGGTTATGGAATTGAACTTTCATTAGGCGAATCTTGGGATTGAGGCCAGCAGTGAGCAGCAGAAGAGCAACAGAGTGTAGGAGAGCTGAGGGGTTGAGGGTCCCCTTCCCCTTGGTTTTTACTGGGGAGTCCGACAGCGGGCCCAAGAAGCGGGACCGAGGCTGGGTCCCGATGGTTCCTCTCCCCAATTCAAATTTTTATTTTATTCTTTTTTCTAGAATTTTTTATTTTATCGTTATTATTCTTTCTGTTATTATTTTATTTCCCATATAGGGCGAGGCCGGGTGCCGGTACCGGGACCGGCCGTGAGGGCCTAGAGCCCTCCTACTTGGGGCAACATCGAAGTCTCAACGGCGGCCAGGGATAGACCGCTCACCCCAGCGTCGGCTACTTCAGGGCTGGCTGAATCGGCAGGTGGGTTGCTACGCACTCAGTAGCTGATTTCGGCCTCTACAACTACTGACCTGTTAGCCATGTTAGTATGCGGGTTGGCGCCGACCGGCTGCGGGGTGCAGGACAGCAGACAGAAGTGCCGAAGGGAGGGTCAACTCTTGTTGAGCGCAGTGCTGGAGGAGAAGCCGACAGTGAGTAGCGAAGCGAGGCAGCCGAGAGATGGGCGCTGAGGCTATGCAGTAAAGCGGAAGCGAGACCCACGGGGTGGTGGGATCGACGGACTGAGAGAAGACAAGGGAGGAGACAGGAGTGCTGAGGCAGCGGGCGCAGCGGTGAGGGAACGAGTGAGCAAGTGTCGTCACAGGCAAACGAAGTGGATGGATCCGGGCGCAAAGTTGCGCCGGATACATGCAAAGGGAAGGGAAGGAAGAAGCTCGGCAGCTAGGCGGAGAGAGTGGCGGGTGAAGGCAATGGCAGGCAGCGGGTGACGAGCGCCAGACACGAGAGGGGTGGAGAAGGCCCGGCAACAGGGGCAGTAAGGAGTGCGAAAGGACCTGGCGCGGTTCCCCGCCAGGTGCATCTCAAAGATCGAGGTGATGAAAGTGGGGTTGAGCACAGCCGAGAAAGTGTAACTCTCTCGATCCTTAGCGGAATCGAGAGAGGGAAGAAGAGGTCCCAGGCTTTTGGCCCCGGGCGAGTCGAGTGGGATGGTTAGATCGAGGAGAAAGTTAGTGGAGGAGGAGCCGTGAGGAAGATGATGTGCGCGGGGGTGTCGGGCTATGGCGGAGAGGGAAGGCGATGGGGAGAGGATAGTGGAGCCCGCCCATTTCTTGATAAAAACGGGTGAGGGAGGAGCCGCTTCAGGGGTTTCAAAGGGTGGCGAGTGTAGTGGCGTTGTTAGATTGAGAGGTTGGTGGTTAGTTTTTGAGGTTGTTCGTAAAGGGGCTGCGCGGTGCATTACGGGAGCGAATTGTAAAGTGAGTGTATCTTCCCGCATTTTAACGGGAGGTCCATCCTTTATTTCTTTTTTTTTTTCTTTTTTTTTTTTTTAATCTGGCGTGGTGGGTAGTGGAGCCAGAGCTATTCAACCCATCGACAGAGAAGAAAGTCACGGTCGTGGCGACCACTCCGAGCCGTTGCCCTGCTCGCCTGGACACTGAGAAGAAGTGCATGGCCCTGGTCGCAATCACGGCCAGATACGTAGGAGGGGTGGAAAGGGTAAGGAGGAACAGGGAGACTCGAGCAGCAGGAGGAAGGCGGGCACTTACCTCGAAGAAGTGGTGACGCGAGATGCCCCGAAAGTCAAGCCGGGGTGCCAAACTGCGGGCATGGTAGGATAGCGGTCCCCTTGTTGAGGGGGAAGAGTCATGCCGATCTTGCCCTGTTGAGGGTAGTAGAGTACGAGCTGCCGCAGGGCTGCGTTCTGGGTTCAGGTCGTCGCCTTCATCTCCTCGACCGCGGTTTACCCAGCTCATTGCTTCCGGTACTGTTCGCCATCGGGACCCGGTACCGGTCATTGTCGCCTTTTCATATGTGCTTCTCTGGTAACTGCCCTCACGAGTGTTGTTACCTCCGAGTTGGTCACCGTATTCATTCACATGCTCGGAGGCCATGGTGTTGCTGCTGGTCGTGCGGGCGGGTGTGTGCGAGGAGGGACTGAACGCACAGGCACCCCTGGTTGTGCTTACCTTGGAGATCCGCATCTCGCACTGAGATCGGTTTCGCAGTCGGAACCCGGACGTATCTTCCCACCATCAGGGGGAGGATTCATTTTTGTCGGTGCTCAGAGCCGGGGCCATACAGTGCAGCGGAACAGATGCACTTACCTTGAAGTGGTGGTAACAAGTGAAGGAAGGAGGAGAACTACGTACCTGGTGAGCAGAGCTGTGAGCGCCGGGGAAGGCTGCAGGCAATACGGTCATTCTTATTCTTGCGGAAGGCTCATTTCCACGCTTACCCTTCGTGGAGTAGTGGCAGTAAGCCCGATTAGGACCTCGCAGGCGGTCGGGTGTTTGAGAGAGTGAACTCACCACCATCATAGGAGTGAATGGAGAACGGGAGGAGATAAGAGCGTGAGGGAAAGCAGGCGGACACGGTGATACATACATTTATCGAAGAAAAGAGGAGTTGCTACTCATGCTTACTGCTTGCGGTGCCACCAAGTCACTGTAAAATGGAGCACCCGCTGTGCTCATTGAACTCGTGTGACTGCTGTTGTTGCTAGGCTGATCGTCAACAGAGCAGCGGCCTTGCCGCATCAAGAGAGGGGGGGGGCATTGGTGCTGTTTTTTTATACACGGGAGTTTTCCGTTAAGAACTGCAGTATTCCTGGCCAACCCTTCACAAAGTGAGCTCCGCAGTTAGGCCCGACTGCTGTGCCGCAGCAGTGATTGCTAGGCCTATTATGGCTTGCTGCACTGCTTAGAGCGTGGTTGTTTGGCGCCATGTGGCTACAGCTGGCCACGAGGAGCGGAGGTACAACGTGAAGGGAGTGATTGGTATGGCTGTGGCTGACTGCTGCACACTACGGCTGGCCGCTGCATGCTGCGACTGAATGCTGCGAACAGCTGCTGCTGTTTTTCTGACTATGCACAAGACTACTGCGGCGGGCTGCTGCAGACTGGGCACGGACTGCTACTGTTGCTGCTGGCCACCGCTGTGCGCTGCTGCTATGCCTAAGGATTATTACAGGCTGGTTGGTAGCGGCAATAGGGCTAAGAAGGAGTGTTGGGACTCAGAAAGGTGATTGGGCTAGGAAGGGAGGCCGGTGCTGTGATTTGGGAGGTCGGCAGAGGGGTTGACGCTGCGACTTGGAGGGCAGGTAGGGGACTGTTGATGCTGCATCCGACCGAGGTTTTGACTGTTTGCTGCTGCGTTTTCCTGGCCATCATTGCGGGGCCCCCAGGCGCATCCAGACTTCAAGGCCTTTTCATTGAGAGTTGAGTTGGCCCTCCCCTGTATCTCGAGAGACTGAACATTTCTACTTCTATCTTTCTCAGTCTAAGTCTAGTCTTTTGGTTACGAGAGGAAGGCGGCAGGCGGGATTGAAACCCGTAGGTCCGCGCCAAGGCCTCTGTGGGAGGTTCGCCCTACCGATTGCGGGAGCTTTGCCGGAGCCCAGGCGGGGTTCTGGAGGCAGGGAATTTCAGGTATAATCTCGTTAACCTGTGTGATCTCTTCCCCTACTTATTATCCCTGGGGTATCTGAAGCTAACTATGTAAGGCTATTACTTTCTGTTTTGTTATGTATGTCAGGACATTCTTTGCAAAAGGTTAAATGAACAGTATATATGAGAAATCAGATCTTTTGAGTGAATTCAGACAGAGGGAACTGGCGGAAGGTGGGATGAAGGTGTTTGCATGTTTAAACTGGGTCAACTCAAGGCTGAGCTCCTCTAAGTTGATGTGGGCTCAGTGCTGTGTTTTATTTACGTTTGCAAGGATGAACGTATGACCTTTTCATGATTGGGCCTATCCTAAGTTGGACGGACCAGTCGCTGTTTCTTTTTGGGGGGGTCTGGACAAGAGGATGGGTACCCTAAGTTGGGAGGTCTCAAAATCTTGATGTTTCTTTTGTGGGTTGCTGAAAACAGAGTTGGGAATACTCTATGTTGCGTGGACCCGGTTCTGTGTGTGTTTTCTTCAGAGGGGGACACCGGTATGAGGCTGAGGGTACCCTTAAGTTAGGGCGGCTCAGTCATAAGCCATGAACATGAATGTCAACCAAAGTATACAATTTGGATACATATTATACGAACTATCATCTGGCAGACCGGACACCCTAAGTTGGGAAAGCCAGTCAGTAAGTCAGGTAGAACAAGAAGAGGAGAAAAACTATGAAAAATACAATGAAGGTAACCAGGGCAGGCTGAGCATACCCTTAAGTTAGGGCGGCTCGGTCCTATCCTCATGACAAGACAAAGGAGCAGAGAGTTAGTATAAACTTGTCTTATTTTCCCTTCTAAACACCAGGCAAGATTGAATGTCTTCCTAAGTTGGGTAGGTCTGATTATCTGCCTAATAAGAGAGAAACATGGGAAGTTTGTGCAAGTATCAATGGTTGTTCTCATATATTTGTCGTTACGGAGGCTAAGCGTACCCTTAAGTTAGGGCGGCTTAGTCATACGTCGTTGTACTTTGTTCAGACAGATTCCGTCGTATGTAACTATACTGTTTAAGCTAGTTAGACGTACCCTTAAGTTAGGGCGGATTAATGATATG